AATTATACTCGCTTCATTTTTCGAGCCTGTTAAGCCATAAAAAAACGCTATAAAAGGGGTCACATGGAAGTTCAACAGTCAGTCACCAGGTGGCCAGTGAACAGACCTGACGGTCAGGCCGAGCGATCAGCAGCAGGGGAGCATCAACCACCGTCAACATGTGTGAACTACTATGAGAGATCCGAAAGCCGGCTTATGAACTTTACCACAAGATAGCTGCCCCAAAACCCACACATTCCTGTTGAAATAAATCATGTAAATCTATTTCTGCTGTTGTCGTATTTCTTTCTTGCAACCATACGCTTGTCTATAACATCACCAAGACTTTCAGAGTAGAGAGTTACTTTTAAAATCATTTTAGGATGAATGAGGTGTAAAATGAGTGAAACAGGTGATGGTAGGAAGTGATGATTATAAGGATGAAGTGTATAGATAATGTGACTTGAAGCAGTTAAGATTGTAATGTTTAGAGAAGTATCCACACTGGAGTCTGTTCCACAAAGTGGCAGTTCTTCTGAAAAAAAAAAAACAATTTGAAAGTAGGTTTCTCCTTGCATTTGGAATATGGAAGAAATGAACAGGATTTGACTTGATGGAAGTAGCAGTAAAGGTCTGACCTGGTGGAACTAAAGAATGGAGTGCTAATCTGAACATTTGCTATGGAAAGCACCGATCAAATAGTGATAGACTTGTGATGTTGAATCTGTCAGATAGCAGCTGCAAGATTGCATAAACAATTTTGAACTTTATCAAGGTTGGAAAATGAGGATTATGCAGCTCCAGCCCAGATATGGCAGCAATATTCCATTTTTGTCTAATCTTGTAAAGATGGCAGAGGAAGTCAGGTACTTCCTGGTTGAGCCAACCAGTTTTGAAGAATCCTATTATTTGATTGATTATTGCTTTACTAAGTTATTGACTTAGCTAGATTAAACAGTGTCAAGTCTTCAGAAGAATACTGGTACCACTGAGAAAAATGCCATGGATGAAAACACAAGTTATGAAACTACAAAAAAAAATTCCCCATAGACCCTGTAAAAAATGGGGTTGGGTAGCTGTCTCCTGAGATGAGACTTTGCCCTTCGACATAGCCTTGTCTGGGAATCCTCTTTGCCTGGACCAGCACACTTGTGGAAGACAACATACAGTATATACCACTGTATTTATAGGAATTGGGACATACCCATTATCGTGCATAGGTATGGTATAACAATAATCTTACTTATTATAAAACGCAGATTGTGTGTGCGTATGTGTGTGTGTCTTTAACATTTATATGTTGGATCGAATTTCCTACATTTTTTAGCCGATTTCAACAAAACTTCACAGGACTACATAAAATTACCCTGTGGTGGTTCTATCGGGATCAAAAATGGGAAAAACACAGTTGTTTTTTTTACGAGGCTGGCATCCCGCTCTCACCCCTTCACTGTCGAAACTCATAAATGTAGCCGTCTCTACTACTCTAATAGCTTCATGTCTCGCACCTCTCGCCTGTGGAACTCTCTTCCCTTCTCCTGTTTCCCTGAGAGTTATAATCTCCAGCTATTCAAGTGTAATGTCAATCGACATCTCCAGTTGCCTTAATCTATCTACTACCCTCATCCTTTCTTCTATCACTCCTATCTGATCTTCCTATTTTCTGTAACCCCTTGCGTCCTAGTGGCTCCCCGCCTTGCTTGGGGTGAAATGCTTAAAAAAAAAAAAAAAAAAAATAAAATAAAATCAATTTGAAAACACAATTAAGACACATTGTGAGAATGAAAGGGGGACAACTCACCCACGAAAATGTAAACAAAAGAGCATAGCATGATGAAAAAGACGCCGAACTTGACGAAAACAAAATTTTATCGTCTAATGTTCATATTATTATTAAAGAGGAAAGATCAAAGTATTTGGGGGTATTTTTTACATTTTTTAATCGTTCCTAGCACGTCTGAAATTTTCGTTAAAATATTTTTTTTTGGTCAAAAAAGGACAGATAATCATTTTCAATCACTTTTTTTTCGATTTGATAAAAAAAGATTAAAATCTTACTTTGATATTCTTTTAAAAATCAATTATCATTTTTTTCAAAACTGATTTTAATAAAAACAGAAATTATACTGTTTATTTAAAATATTTTGAACCAAGCTTAACTTAGCTTCTGCGCTGAAAAAATGTAATTTGAAAATAAAACAAAGCAGGACGAAAGGCACATTCATGATGTTTAGATAACTTACGGGAGGAGAATTCTTTCTACGGATGGAAGGAAGTGAAATTATTTAAATGAACAAATTATTTACCTTGTTACTTTTAAGGAAAACTTTCAGCGCTCTAATTTTTTATTTTTTATTTTTTTTAAATTTTTTTTTGTACTTAGCTTTCATTTTTACATTTACGATGCTTTATGGAAAATATAAAGAAATTAAAAAATAAGACTGTTAATAGTGAGATTAAATTTCATAAGAAAAAGGTATCTAATTAATTTAGGTACCTTTCTTATGAAAATTTATCAGAAGTGTACATAAAATACTATAATTTTATGTACATTTATTACATTTTACTGTGTTATTTGTATTTCCATTCATTTTATTATTAATTTTGATATTTCATTTATGGAAAAATGTCATAACTGAGATTAATATAAAAATAAGATCATATAAATTAAAGTTTAGCAGTAGTTAAATTTCATAAGATGATACTGTTACTTGTAGATACCCTTCTCAGTTGAAATTGAAAACTCAAATTAACTTCTCCATACGTGTTTCACAAAAGTAAAGGGCTTAACAGTGGAGAACAATGCTGAACTCAAATAATGCAACTAAATTGTATTCTGGTTGGTCTTCCGTACTTGATAATTACTGTCTGACTATAAACACAAAAATTACATTTCTTAATTACCATGGCTAATCTGATTGGTCCAAATTATACAATTTTCAAAGCGCTAGACAATGACAATCTCACACAGACATTTTGAAAGGTTGATGTTGTTTTTTAACTAATGTTAAAATATTTTTTAAAATTCAATTTAAACATTTTTTAAAAATCTTTTAAAATTAAAGAAATAAAAATAATTGTATTAAAAATTTAATTTTCATTGAAAAAATTTTTTGCTTTCAGAAAATATTGTCCATATTCATAAAACAAATTAAAACAAATAAAAGCATTTGAAACTAAATAATATATTTGTTTTATTGAGTTTTGTATGTTACAATTCACAGCTGATTTTCAGGTACGTTGACCAAAAAAAAAAAAAAAAAAAAAACATGATTTGCATTCTTCAAAGCCTTGTGCTTTTTAAATATTGTAATCACTAAAACCGATGGTCTCGAATTTCTAGAGTTTTCATAAAATTAGTTATGGGGGTGTTAATAAATATAAAAAAAATATTTCTGCCATGACTTTAATAAAAAAAAAAACATATTTATAATAATTTCGATCATCTGTGAATAGTTTCTGAAAGTTTCATTAACATTTGACAATTATTTTTATTTTTGCAAGATTTTCCAAATTAATGTGTGTTGCGACAAAGAGAAACAAGGTTTTTTAAATCAAAATTTAGCATATTCTAAAAAGATGGAAAAATTTTTTAAAATAATTAAAAAAAAATTTAGTCTATCCTCTTCATAAAAGCATAAGCATTTTGATGATAAAATTTTGTCTTCATAAACTTTGGCGTCTTTTTCATCAGACTATGCTCTATGTTTTAGCGATTCCATGGAGTGACTTAGGTTAAAAACCCAGGTTGTTTTGTGTGTGTGTGTGTGTGTGTGTGTGTTCCTTTATATATGGGATCGGATTTCTTACATTTTTCAGCCGATAAAACAAACATCCACTTTTTTTTTTCGGCAGGTAGTATTTCTTATTGTCTTGCACACTTTTTTCTTTATTTACATTCAGAATGCTTTAAAAATTCCATTTACAAGACAATTGTTTATAATAAAATTCTATTCACCAATCGATAGACTCATAACGATTTTAAACAATGTTTTTGTTTTAATTTGGGTTTGACCAATTCGTAAAAAAAAAAAAAACTAATTAAGACATGCGTGTCCGTCAACCTTAAACCATAATCTTTGTCAATTTTATTTTCCAGTCTTTATGATGGTCGATACTTGATCTATCTCTTACTGTTACATCCCCGGGCAACGCCGGGCTCTACTGCTAGTATGTTACAAAACAGGTTGTATTGTATATTACTATATATCAACACTGGTTTGGAAGTAGCACTAAGTAGTTTATAATACAAATGCTAAGGATTGGCATTTCATAGTGTCTTGAAAATGTATATATATGTCAACAGGAGGTAACGTAAGTTTCATAAAGACATGTTTTGAAAACCAACATATACGTCAACAGCAGACAATATAAGTTTCATAGAAGAGAGTTTTGGATTATTGTCTTGTTGAAAGGTGATTGTTTTTTCAATTATATGTAAACAGGTGGTATAGCATGACTTTTACAAAATCAAATGATATTGTATTTTTTTTCAGGAATTCCTTGATCCGAATGAAATTTTCAGCCCTGTTGGTAATCTCAGAAAGTCTACTAAGGGGTTAATGGTGAAAACAAAATATAACCTTTCTCATACAAATTTAGTATAAATTTAGTATAACAAATTGTGGACAGACGAATTCTAATTAGAACTTTTTGGTAGTAAGTGGAGCCTGGAGAAAGACTGGAAAATAAATGCAAAGACACTGCAGTTACTGAAATTTTATCTTTTACCTTAAAAAATACAAAAATAACATGTTTTTTTTTAAAGAAATGCAGAGTGGACCCCACACTTTTTGCCTGTAGTGTATATACCACTTTTGTGCAAATTATAATGCTAAGGCTTGTAATATTGTTACTTAAATGAATAGTGATAGATTTTGTAATCATTTTAAATGTATCTTTATTTTTTTAATTTCACTTGACAGGAGAGTGGCCTTTTATTTTCACTTATAATACAAGCCATAATGAATAGTTACAGATTTTGTAATCATTTTAAATGCATCTACTTTTTCTAATTTCAGTTGGCAGGAGAGTGTCCTTTTATCTTCAATTGTAATATAAGCCGAGCTGTGAAGCTAACTTTGTCTAGCACATGTCCTACATGCCATTGTTCCTTAGGTAAGTAAAGAAAAAGAATAAAAACAAATGAACAGTTTGCTTACATAGAAAAGCTGGAAATAGGAAAATAATACAGTAGTTGGGGGTGGGAGGTTTATAGGTGAATACAAACACCAATATCTCTTGTCATCACCATATTTATTTTTCAGTACTGTCTTCTTTGTCACTCCACTTAATAATCCATTGCTTCCCCATTAATCACATTAATTATACAGTGAAATTTGATATGAAAATTTAGATAATAACTGTCGGGTTCCAGACTTAGTAATTTATCAATTTTCTTCTATTATTTCAAACTATTGTTTTGATATAGATGTTATTATAGACACAATGTTTTGACTAAGTACCCTCTGGTCATCATCATATTGATTGGCTGATATGGGATTGTACTGATAAATCATCAGTTACCTCCCCTTATGATATCTAAGAGGTATAAAAACCACACTGTAATATCCATCAGTAGATGAGTAGTCAGAGTAAAGTGCAATAAAGCTTTGGTATAAGTTTATTCACTGGTTCTGTTTTTACTATAGAGATATCTGTTGATTATTGTGATATTTTGTTTCTTATTGTTCTTTCTTATTGAATTTATGTGTCACTATTAGATATGTATAACCAGCTCCTATATCCACTATGCCATCATTTCAAAGGACATTATTGGTGTGTTTTTTGGAGACTTTTATATTAACTGTCAGTTTTTGATGGTGTGTTCATACTGCTTTTCATAATTTACAATTTAATTTCTGAGACAAATAATTGTCAATATTCTTGTATTATTTCAAACTATTGTTCTCATCTTGGTTGATATAGAATTTATTATAGACACATTTTCACCAAGAACCCTCTGATCACCATCAGGTGTTCACTGATTGGTTGATATAGGATATATGTTGATTGTTGAGATATTTTGTCTCTTCTTTTTTGAAACAGTGTTTATTTCACCTGTCTGCATGCACTCAAGAAAAATTAATAAAGAAAATGTGCTCTTCAGTTGGGTTCAAACCTGTGTTTCACTGTTTGATCTGACAAGCCTTAGCAAACATTCCAGCAAGACTCTTTTCCCTTTTAAGGAAAGCACATTTCCTCATTCAGATTTTTTGTAAAGAGGATGCTCAATAAGAAAACTATAGAAACAATAGTTCACAGATGAAGAAAAGTTCAAAGGATTTAACTTATGAGCAATTTTAAGTTTTATGTATACACTGCTTGTAAATAGATTTATTTAAACCTGACGAGCAGTGTTTATGCAAACTTGACTTGTAATTTTATTTTTACTTGTAATTTTGTATGTTTTTTTTACTTTATTTTAAATTTCTTTTGTAATTTTACAATTGTATATTTTTCTTTAGCCTATCAATCATACCCCAGAATGACATAGACAAGCCCAGTTAAGTTCAAAAGAACATTTGTTAAATTTAGATGTATAGATATTTTGTTTTGAATGTAGACATAGAAGCCCTCCTTGAAAACATTACTCATTTCTGGTGCAACCATCAATGTATGAAAAGTAGAATTAATATTGAGCTACAGAATATATTAGGCAACCCTCCTTGAAGAACCAACCAAGAAGAATGTTTCTAGATCATTTTGTATTCCCAGGTCTCTCTCTTTGGGCCTACACTATCTTCATCAATGACCCTCCCCGATGTCATCAATTCCCAACTAGGTATTTATGCTGATGATACAACTATTTAACTCTTTCTTACTAGTTAGTCTGATATGTTTGACAAAGTAAATCTGGCAGCTGTTCTCAAAAATGACCTTCAATTAGTTGTTAACTGGGGCAAGAAATGGCTTGTAAATTTTAACGCCTCCAAAATGAAACTGCTATCTTTTAATCACCATAGAGAACATTTTTTGTCTTCTTGCTAACCTCCAAGTGACCAACTCATTGCTTGCTAGTCTCATTTTTTCCACTGATATAAAGTGGAGTGATTATATTGAATCAATTGCTAGGTCTGCTGAATAGTAAAGTTGGTTCACTGTGTTGGCCAGATAATTTTTCTTGTCAGAATTGATCTTACATATTTATAAGTTTACCATTTATCTGTGCATTGACTTTTGCTGCCATATCTGGTCTGGTGCTCTTGCTATGTATCTCAAGATTCTCAGCAAAAAAGAGTCTGTAATATTATTAGTCCTGTTCCTGGCATCTTGACTTCAGTCACTTTTCTGCTGTCATGATGTGACTTCCCTCTGTCTTTTTTATAAGTATTTTCATGGCAATTGTTCTAATGACCTCTACTCCTTGGTATCTTGATCCCATTAAGTGTTGTACTCGATTGTCAACTTGGCCCCATCATTTTACTGTTCAAATAGCTACATTCAATGGTAAGTTTTATTTTAATAGGTTCTTTTGTTGCACTTCTTACCTGTGGAAACCTCTTCTGATTTCTTACTTCCCTGCCACATGCAATGTTCAAAGATTTACATGCAATGTCAATCACCAACTTCTCATCATTAAAGGATCATTAAAGTCTTCTCATTCTCTTTCACTCTTAGTAACCTCTTGCATTTTAGTGGCATTATCACCTTGCTTGGGGTGAAATAATTACCCCTCTTCTCCCAAGTGGCTTCTTCATAAGATTAGAGCCTTTATATATTGCCAGGCCCTCTTCTGTAGTTAATGTAGTAAAGTATTTCTCTTTCATATGGACCTCACTAAATATCTGAGAGCCTGTCATTCATCTGGACGTACTGATGAATTGCAAGTTTTCTTTTGACCCAAAGGACAACCATGTTTGTAAAGATAGTTTTAAATAAATAATTCTGATACAGAAATTATCATATGTTCCTATTGTGAAAATAAATTTAAAGAAGTTTCCTTTGCCTCTTTTGAAAGTTTAGTACAAGTGCAAGCCAGTTAGAGATCTTTAACTAAAAACAAAATCCAAAACAAATGACTAAATAAAGTCATATTAATGTGAGAAAAGAAAATGCTTGAATAGAAGCCTGAAGAAGGCTAGAGCATATTACAGCTGAAACGTGAATATGACAATGAAGATGAGGATAACAGTCCGAATAATGTAAATAATGTAAATAATACCTCATCTCAGAGATATAGAAACTGAAACATTGTGAATATAGCACTAAAGATGGGGATAACAGTCCGAATAATGTAAATAATGTAAATAATCATAATACCTGGTCTCAGAGATATAGAGGCTGAAACATTGTGAATATGTCAATGAAGATGAGGATAACAATCTGAATAGTGTAACTAATGTAAATAATCATAATTCCTCATCTCAGAGATATAGACAGATATAGAAGCTTGAAAAGTTCAATTTGTTAACTTGTCCAGATATTACATATGCAAGTAGTGCTTAAACTATGATGGGGTTCTGTTCTGATGGTCACCTTATAAGCTTTTTCTTTGTTGAAAAACATAGGTAGCAATAAAAGAAGTTTTTATTGACATGCAGTGACCCCAATATGTATTGGGCTCACTCTAAGTAAGCTTTGTACTTGGTGTCACATCAGAATATCAAGTAGCTCAGAGGACTGACTAGAAAGTAAACTCATAACTCTCAAGTGCATGACAGGACCTTAAGGGATGTTGGTATCTTTGCCGACATAAAACAGGAAGTCAACTTAGCTGAACTTAGGATACAAACAAACAAGAAAACGGGTGTCAGGAAGTTATATAAATGCTTGACCTATGAGGGGGAAAGCAGTTTCTGATATCCTTGTGAAAAGAAGCTTAAACATGTGTTTGAAGTCCCTAAAAATCCATATACCCCATAGCTCAAATTATAACAATAATTTTATGTATAAAAAAATTTGTCTTGTATTCTTAGCAGTTATTATTAAAATATCTAGCAACCCAAACTTACAAAATATACCTACTACTTAAACTGCAGTATCATCACCTAAGATAGTACTGTTGTGGCTGTATGAGGAATTATGAAGCAGCTGTTGTGTAAACAAAGATAAGGCTGGGAATCCCGTGTTGTGTGCATATGAAGCAACTCTGTATCATTTTGTTGTGGATTCCGTGAATGGAATTCTGCACAAATAAATAAACAATGCCAGTAATTGAGAAAAATAAGTGTATTAAACATAAGAATACAGACTTGAAGTGAAGATTAGTAGTCCAGGAATGCGGGTTAGTAGAAAGTGTATGTACAAGTCTCTGTAAGTAAAGCCGTAATCATCTCTCTCTCTGGACTCTTTTATAACTCTCTGAGAACACCCTGTGTCTGTCTCCGTATCTCTCAACCTGTCTCAACGTATCTCCACGTATCGCAACAGCAGGTATTTTCTCTGTCAGTATAAGTATACTTTGGGTGAGTCCATCTTGTGTGAAAAGGGGAGAGCCCCACAACACATTTATTATACAGTCTCCCTACTTCTTTTCCCCTTGGAGAATTACTTTCAGTATTAATTGAAGCAGCATTTTTTATATTGAAATTATGGTTAGATTCAATATGATGAACAACTAATGCATTGTTTTGTAAAAGATCCATCTTGTGTTCATATACACTTTTATCTAAATTCTTCAAAGTCTTTTTCATGTAGTTTTTATAACAATTTTTACAGTAAATTCCTGCTCCAGGTTTAAGGATGTTGATATTTTTTTTTTTATTAATGAAATGTCTTGCTGTTTTAGAAGCAATTGTAACAAATTTATATTAAGTTTAGATTTTCAGTTGCAGCTGCAATAGTTAGTAGTTAATGTGTCTAGTTTTATTAAGATTATTTATATTCATTAATCTTTTATTTTTATAAATTTCATGAGCTTTCTGCTTCACATTAAATATGAAATAATTAGGATATTGGAGGATCTGAAATGTATTTTCAATGGATTTCTCATTGTGTAAATATTGAGGGCTACAAATTCTAAGTGCTCTTGAATGGAATCCAATACTTATTCAGGATTTTATGTTGTCTTCATGGTATGAATAGAAATTTATGAGATCATTTTTATTGGTAGATAAGCAATAATTTATATAATTTTATCATATTTATTATTTTAATTTATTATTTTTTTATTGTTAGATAAGCA